GGGGGCTGGAAGTCTCGCCTCGGGTCGTAACTGGGGGCTTCGAGGCCGAGGTTGTTGGGGTCTGGCGGAGGACGGCCATTTCGGTCTGCGAGAGAGGAGAAAAAAATAAATAAAAGGGTGGATGATTTGATGAATGATAATGAATGATGAATGAATATATGAATGGAATAAATGGAGAAATAGATTAATATATGGGATGAATGGGGAATGATCGGTCTGCGAGAGAGAGAAATAAAGGGTGGATGATTTGATGAATGATGAATGAATAAATGAATAGGATAAATAGATCAATTGATTAATATATGGGATGAATGGGAAATGAATGAATGCGATAAATGGAAAAATAGATAAATAAATGAGATGAATGGAGAATTAAATGGGAAGAATGGAGAAATAGAAATAAAAATGAATAAATAAACAGATAAATGAGTAAACAGACAGAAGACAGAAAGGACGCGTTATATGAATGAGTAAAACGGGTGAAAAAAATGGATAAAAATTATAATAGGGTTCCATTTACAACACAGGTAGCATTTATTGTTAAATGAGTAACGACTGAACACCTGCAAGGGTCAGTTACTCAGCAGAATAACCGCTCTGTTAATATATTCACCAAAAAGTACATCATTTGAGCAAAACTAACTGATGCCTGACTTCGCTGTGTTGCCAGAATGTTGCTGGCATGCAGTTGCAAGGGAAATTAAGCACAGAGGAATATAAACATTGCAGCAAAAGTAACAATCAGAGAGAGAAAGGGGAAGGGGTGTATATGCTGTGTAAACACGCATGCACACGCGCTCACATATAACGTGTGTGTTAGTGTGTTTGTGTTGTGTGGTGTGTGTGTGTGTGTGTGTGTGTGTGTGTGTGTGTGTGTGTGTGTGTGTGTGTGTGTGTGTGTGTGGTGTGTGTTTACTGCCAATATATATTTACATTTAATAGCAAAAACGCTACAAGAAAAAATACTCTTCGACCAACAATGGGATTTTCGAAAGAAGCCAAAACAATGTCAAAATACCACGAAGAATATTCCACAAATAATGTCTCTCTGGTCATTTTTCAAAGAATACCCTTCAAATTCCTTCAACAGAAATCAAGAAGCAATCAAGAGATAATGTTTCTCAGAGATGATTTGTCTCAAAATAGCCAAAGGAACGAAAATAACCGCCCTTTTTCTTATTGTAGATCGCAAAGTCTTCCACATACAAGAACCATTCCATATCAGAGTCACCGCGACGACGCTAAGCTCAGAATCACCCCGGGAGCACTAAGCAGGAGTAAGCTGGAGTAAGTAGGAGTAAGATGGAGTAAGTAAGAGTAAGCTGGAGTAAGCAGGAGTAAGATGGAGTAAGCAGAAGTAAACTGAAGCAAGCATAAGTAAGCTGGAGTAAACAAGAGTAAGATGGAGTAAGATGAAGTAAGTAGGAGTAAGCTAGAGTAAGCTGAAGTAAGCAGAAGTAAGTAGGAGTAAGCAGAAGCTAGCAGAAGTAAGATGGAGTAAGCAGAAGTAAGCTAGAGTAAGCAGAAGTAACAGGAATAAGTAGGAATAAGGTGGAGTAAGCAAGAGTAAGCAGAAGTAAACAGGAAATAAGTAGGAATAAGGAAGTAAGCAAGAAGTAAGATAGAGTAAGCAGGAGTAAGATGAAGTAAGTAAGCAGGACCCCTGAGTGGCCGCGAAGGGCTCGGTCGAACTTAGCAGAAACTTATCACGCCTTTGCACGGAACAGCCGGGCGCCACAACCCAAGGGACAGGTATAGAAAAACAAAGTATGAATGAGAATTAATATCTTCAAGGAACAGTATGAATGACAGTATGAATGAGAATTAATATCTTCAAGGGACAGTATGAATGAGAATTAATATCTTCAAGGGACAGTATGAATGAGAATTAATATCTTCAAGGGACAGTATGAATGAGAATTAATATCTTCAAAGGGACAGTATGAATGAGAATTATATCTTTCAAGGGACAGTATGAATGAGAATTAATATATGAATGAGAATTAATATCTTCAAGGACAGTCATGTCATCATCTTTCAAGGAACTTCAAGGAACAGTATGAATGAGAATTAATATATTCAAGGGACAGTATGAATGAGAATTAATTTTCAAGGGACAGCATGAATGAGAATTAATATCTTCAAGGGACGTATGAATGAGAATTAATATCTTCCAAGGACAGTATGAATGAGAATTAATAATTTCTAGGGACAGTATGAATGAGAATAATATCTTCAAGAACAGTAATGAATGAGAATTAAAATATCTTCAACAGTATGAACTTCAAGGGGACTCAAGTATGAATTAATATATTTATGAATGAAATTAATATCTTCAAGGGGGAATGAGAATTGATATATTCAAGGGACAGTATGAATGAGAATTGGGGACAGTATGAATGAGAATACATCTTCAAGGACAGGAATGAATTGAGGACAGATGAATGAGAAATTGATATATTCAAGGGGTTATGGAATGAGAATTAAATATCTTCAAGGGACAGTAATGAATGAGAATCAAGGGTAACAAGGGACAGTATGAATGAGAATTAATATATTCAAGGGACAGTTGAATGAGAATTAATATCTTCAAGGAACAGTATGAATGAGAATTAATATCTTTCAAGGACAGTATGAATGAGAAATTAATATCTTCAAGGAACAGTATGATGAGAATTAATATCTTCAAGGGACGTACCAGTATGAATGAGAATTCTTTCAAGGGACAGTATGAATGAGAATATATATTCAAGGGACAGTAATGAATGAGAATTGATTATATTCAAAGGACAGTATGAATGAGAATTGATATATTCAAGGGACAGTATGAATGAGGAATTAATATATTCAGGAACAGAGAATGAGAATTATATATCTTCAAGGAACAGTATGAATGAGATTAAATATCTTCAAGGGACAGTATGAATGAGAATTGATATATTCAAGGGACAAGTATGAATGAAGAATTGATATATTCAAGGGACAGTATGAATCAAGGGACATATGAATGAGAATTGATATATTCAAGGGACAGTATGAATGGGAATTAATATATTCAAGGAACAGCATGAATGAGAATTAATATCTTCAAGGGACAGTATGAATGAGAATTAATATCTTCAAGACAGTAAATGAGAATTGATATATTCAAGGGACAGTATGAATGAGAATTGATATATTCAAGGACAGTATGAATGAGAATCAAGGGACAGTATGAATGGGAATTAATATATTCAAGGAACAGCATGAATGAGAATAATATTTCAAGGGACAGTATGATGAGAATTAATATCTTCAAGGGACAGTATGAATGAGAATTGATATATTCAAGGGACAGTATGAATGAGAATGATATATCAAGGGACAGATGAATGAGAATTAATATCTTCAAGGGACAGTATGAATGAGAATGATATTCAATATAATCTTCAAGGGACAGTATGAATGAGAATTGATATATTCAAGGACAGCATGAATGAGAATTAATATCTTCAAGACAGTATGAATGAGAATTAATAATTTCTTTATAATGAGAATTAATATCTTCAAGGAACAGTATGAATGAGAATTAATATATTCAAGGGACAGTATGAATGAGAATTAATATCTGCAAGGGACAGTATGAATGAGAATTAATATATTCAAGGGACAGTATGAATGAGAATTAATATCTTCAAGGGACAGTATGAATGAGAATTAATATATTCAAGGGACAGTATGAATGAGAATTAATATCTTCAAGGGACAGTATGAATGAGAATTAATATATTCAAGGGATTATCTGACCGGTTTCGAATATATCTCCGTCAGAAAGAAAGGTATTTTGTGATGAAGATATATTCGAAAATGAAGATTATATTCATTCTCATTTATATCGTGTCCTTGACCAAGAGATCTTTACTGAAAAAAAGAAAGAAAGAAAGAAAAAAAAAATTCAATTGAATAGTTAAGTAGATGAATGAAGATTAGGAATAGAGGAATAAATGAAAAAATGATAAATAGATGAATTAATCCATAAATCAGTTAATATCTGACTGCAACGTATACTCTTTACTGAAGCAAAATGATAGATGAATTAGATAAATAAATAGATAAAGTAAGATTGATAGATTAATTAATAGATTAAGAAATAATAATATTTGAATGCAATGTATACTTCGGTTTTATGTCCTTAACCGAAAACTCTTTACTGAATAATAAAAAAGTAATAAAACAAATGAATAGATAAAGGAGTAAATGAAATAAATCGATGAATAAACAAAGGAACACCAAATACGTAGATAAAGATAAATAGATAATCAAATGAAACAAATATATTGGAAATAGAAAATGAAAATTATTTTAGTGGCGGAAATGAAGGCACGTAGACGAATAACCATTAATTTCTTTCAGAGGGAAAAAACATCATTATTTCCTGTCAACAAATAACGCTTTCATTGAGACTGTTTGCGAGAGTACAAATGCTTTTATTCAGTAAGTACAAGCGGCTCTCAAACTGTGTCAATAGTCGTTACAGATAAGTACTCATTACACTTCAATGAAAGCCTGGGTGTTATTCAGTGTGTAGTATGTAGAAATTATTATAAGGTAAAAAAAGCAATTATTATACTAGGATTTCTTGTATCAGCTGATAATTCCCATGGTTCGAGCAGGTTGTATTTCGGGAACACATATTCGCAGACTGTTCTCATCTTGCTTAAAATATATATAGAATAAATATAAAACATTATTGATAAGGGTACCAAGGAATGAATAATGTTAAATGAATCAAAAATGGGAGTAAACTGTGGATAACTAAACAAGTGCTCATCAAAAAACATATTTAGCGTATGAAAAATTGTTGCTTTCCTGTGAATCTCTTTCTTTCTTTCTTTCTTTCTTTTCTGCTTCGACAAACTTTAACATCAGATAAAGGAGCAAGGTCAGTCCAGAATTTAAGAAAAAAGTTTTCGGTAAAAGAATTGCACACAAGAAAAACGCCGTAGGAAATGAGGACAGATCTATCTTATTACAGGGAGAAGGAAAAGAGGTCATTATATCACGGCGTAGCTATTTAACCGTGAAAGGGGTCGAGGGGGGTCGCTATTTTATCGCGAAGGGGGCGAGGGAGGGGGGGTCGTTATTTTATTGAAGGGAGAAGGAATGCCTCTATCAGGGGCGGGAGGGAGAGGGAGGGGGAGGGGTGGCAGAGTCATCATTGCTTCCCCAAGGGTTCTGAGAATCACGGTTTGGGGAAGGGAGGGAGGGAGGTGGGGTAGTGAGGGAAAGGGGGGGGGGGGAGGGTTAGGGGGCTCCCACGAGCAATAAATTCAAGACTCTATTAAGTCTGGCTTTTGTATTCCCTCCGACAGCATATATCATCTGTACAGTTAGGATAATTCGTAACATTAATCCTTGAAGCGGTGATGGAAGAGGCAGTGGCAGCGCGCGGGAGCAAGTGTGGATTCTCCCTCCACCCCTTTGAGGCCACTTGCCCTTTTTAAGTGGTTTTAGGCCCCTCTTCCTGACTTGGTACGACTCTTTGTGAAATTCTTGTGTGTGTGTTTACCTGTTTCTCTTATTCTTTTCTGTGTTTTTTCCGTTTCTGTTTATTTATTTTTATTTGTTTTCTGATTATTCCTGTTTTTTGTCTGTTTCTGTCTTTCCGTTTTTGTCTGTTCGTGTCTTTGTGTAGAAACTACAGGAGTAAAGCTTAATTTTGAATGTATTTCTGTGTCTGACTCAGTCAATTACTCACTCACTCAATGTCTCTCTGTGTCTGTCTCTATGTCTTTTTGTTTTTGTCTGTCTCCGTGTTTATCCTTGTCTTCCTGTACATGTGGTTTGTGTCCTGTCTCTGTTTATGTCTGTTCTTCTGTTTCCGTCTCACTGTTTCTGTCTGTTTCTAACTCTCGGTTTCTGTGTCTTTGTGTCTGCCTGTTCATTCCTCTCTCTTTCTGTGTCTACCTGTTCATATCTTTGTTTCTCTTTCTATTGGTCTGTTATCTCCTGTCTCTCTATTTCTTTTTCTTTCTGTCCATGTCTCTCTGTTTGTGTTTCCTTCTCTCTACTTATCC